CAAACAAATAGATGATCTTACCAAAATTTCTTTCACTTCAGAATGAAGAAATACCTGAAAGCAGTCATGATCGGGAGAACCCTGAGCCAGAGCAGCTTGACAGTTCCAAAAATCTTTCCCCCAGCAGGTAAGATTGCACATCTCTTTGTAGAAGTCATTTTAACCCTTTAGAGGGTGGGGGTAATGGGGGAGGAGGGTAGGGTATGCTCTGTTTTAAATCTCATCACTTATCTTTCCTAGATAAAATCACATATTTATTCTTTATACTAACCTTCATTGTGTACCGGAGAACAAAACTCATGAATCTCATAAAAGCAACAAGCAAGAGCTGAAAATGGCATCTCATAAACCAGGCTTCCTAAGATACTCAGTTTTTAAAAACAGTGTATTATCAAGAAAACAGTAAATGAAAAACTATTGCTAATATTGATTGAATTATTGGTTTTAAAGCATTTAAAGGATATAGGTTCCCCATAAACACAATTTATACAAATGTAATGCTATTTTTGGCCTACAGCAAGGTGTTTGCATGCATGTGAATGCTCTGCAGATCAGAAAGCCTAAATTATGGCAGTTAAGACCAAAAGCATGAGAGGAAATTCATTTTTTAAAAAATTTTCCTTGTACTCAGAATCCGCATCATTGCTTCTATTCTAGCCTTTGTCACATTGTTTTACCCACACCATTTGACTTATTCATTTATGAGCTGCTTTTATCCCAAGGGTCTATCATGTTTAGCTCTTAGCAGACCTCCAAAAAAATGCCTGTAGAATGAATGAACAAACATCTTTAGGAATTTGCCCCTCGATTAAAGCCAGTATTAGTTTAATTAGATTACTTCCTAGTCTTTCACTTTAAGGTGTACTCAAGGAAACATGTGGGCTCTTACTGGTTGAAATATACCTTTGAGTTATAGAAAATGGCCCAATTCAGCCTATCTGAAAGTGTATTTACTTGGGTTATGTGTGAAAAGCACCACCTGGCAATGTATTCTGTTGTTTTCCTTAAGTGACTGTATATCATTGGGGACTTTTCTATGACTACAACCATACTTACTTTTATAATTGTAATTTTATAATTCTTATAATGAATCCTTTACGTTAGTTGATGAAATATTGTATTAATTTACAGGAAATGATTAAATTATACTTCTAATGAGAAATGCAAATGGGAGAAGTTACAGCATTTAATGAAACAAAAATATCTAAGATTCTTGCAAAAGAACTTTGAGAAAAGGCAAAATTAGCCAGTGGATTAAGGAGACAGGAGAATCTATAAGACTACTGTTTTAGTTGTACCACCAGCTTTGAATAAATACTATAAGATCACCATTTCGCTGCAACAGTTTAATCTATATTTCCTTATTCATTTTTGATTTTATAGATTTGAGTTTTTATGTATAACTAATACAGATTTGTTGGGCTAGAGTTGATAGGTACAATATGCTTGGCACATAGTAAGCATTCAGATTTTGTTGAATAAATTATAAGCTTTTAAGTAGTGCAGGTAAAATGTTATGCCAGATAGTGTCCATTAAGGGTCCTGAATAATTAATCTCTTTTCATTTTTGGATGGCTTGCCAGAATAACATTACTTTATTATATTTGGAAAAAATAATGATTCTAAGCACTATGAGATAGCATTGTGCATAATCCCTACATTCATAACTTATATTTTAACTAGGAAAAAACACATGAAATGATTCCTAGGTAGCACAATAAAATATTTGATTAAATATATATTTTAGAGGGAGGGGAGGAGATGCTTAATGGAGGAGCAAAGGTAGGGTTGTAAATCCAAGATTTCAACAGCTTCAGGAGAAACAGTGTTCCTAGCAAGGGAAACCAATTTATGCAAGGTAAGGTCATGAATGAGATCTGTGATGGGTAATAGTGGCAGTGGGAAAAATAAAGCTACAGGGAATGAAGGAGGAAAAGAAGATTAGATAAGGCCTTGAAAACCAGATAGAAGAGATTAGATTTGATGCTGGGGCAGTAAGGAGCCTTTGAGGTCTGGAGCAAAGGAACATCATAATGAAAGCTGCGACTGAGGCTAGTCCAACTGCAGAATGCAGTCACTGCAGGGAAAGCAGAGTCAAGGAGACATCTAACATTTCTCTCATTATTACAGAAGAATGAGTAACCCTGTCTGATTCTCACTGTAGCTATGGTATTCAATTAAAGTCCCCAAAATAGTTCAGCTTAACTCTTCTGAGTTATCATCATTTTAGTCCCAACTACAAACACCCCAGCCATGCCTTGCAAGTAAAAGTTCTACTACAACCAAATAATTCAGATGCTTCCAAGTTTTAAAAAATATATAGATTGAATCACACCATGTACTATGCTAAGAATCAAGCCAGAATCAGGTGAAAAGCAGATGAGCACATACTATGTACAGATATACTGAAACACCAAACACTGCAGAGCAGGCCTAAGAATATTCCTAATGTTAAGAGACTAGGGCTAAATTTGAATCAACTGTTGGATAGCTAATGATATCAAATAAAAGGAAAATATGACCTTTCAAATGGTGTCTTAAGGCACTACGGCTATAGATAGGTTCTTATTTCATCTTTTCCTGAACAATCTATTAGGAAAGAAGAATTCCCCCACTTAGACATTCCAGCATAAATCTTTCAACAAACAAAAGAAGCATTTTAGATGGCTCCACAATGCAGAGGGCACAATAATCCTCTATCGTGGGCACAGCAGCAAGTCTGAACAGGAAATAGGATTACGATCATGTACTACAGACCTCTCTGACATTAAACAGAACTAGTTGATTATATAAACAAATGGTGTTCACACAGGAGTTTAAAAAGCTTTGCGAAAATACACATCTGTTGACAATTTTCAAGTTGTTTATTGGAAATCATAGATTTATTTTTAAAAAAACCCTCTATTTTGCCATATAAGCAAAATTCAAATAATATAAATATTTAACATTTTGGTATAAAATTAATAATATGGAAAAAAGACGCAAACCAACCAAGAGGTAAAACGTTTTTAGCAATAACACTGTGTATAACTGTCAATTGACCATCCAGGCTAAGAGTTTATTTTCCCTTTATTGATGATTTTAAAAGACAGCCTTGCACTGGAGCACCAAAAAGTTTTTTCCTTCCTTTTTAAAAGGTTGGAATCCTTTATTTACAATTAATCTTCTCAGTACTTAAAATCTGATGAAGGAAGAGTCTAGCAATTTCCTTCTTATTAAAAAAAGGAAGTGCCTTCATATTTCCTTCATATTTAACTGTTTCATTCTATTTTAAGCAAAAGTAAAAAGATGAACACAACTGAGGGGAGCTCTTTCACAAATAAATAACTGTTTCACAAAAGTATTGCTGTAAACAAGATCATTTTGATGGCCACAGAGACACTGATGTTTTCAACCAATGGCAAATTTAAACAGTTACAAGTATAGATACACAGGGCATATATATGGCCAAAAGGCAAACGGTTATTAAAGGATCAACTAATAAAAATTAATTATAAACCTGCTTTGTCAAAATGCGCTTTTGTTCTCTCCAGTTTTTTAAACTGGTCAGAAAATTAAAACTGTAATGATCTAAAAACCCTGAACCTACTCTGAAAGTAACTAAAAACTAGAATGTTTGATACCATAGTTTTGACATGAGTTAAAAATTTTAAATTATCTGAGCAATCAATGTAAACAAGCTTCAATTTTCAAAATAGAAAAAAATTAACAAAAAATTTCTGTAAACATTGAGAAGCTACCTGCAACAAATTATACGTATCATCATCCAGTTGTGTACACTGAGAATTCTTTTTTAGTTTTTTTGCATGTTTCAGGCATCTTACTAAGTGATACATCTTAGTTTTCCCTAACAGGAGCCTCTGCAGACAAAGGGTTTATAATCAGTTCAACTGCTTTTGCTGAAGTCACTATTTTGGCTTTCATATAATCCCCCTAACAACAGACATCACCTAGTTCTTTCTGTAGTGAGGGGAGGTTGTTTGCATCATAGCCACATTTTTATCCTGCTCTGTAAAATAAATGTAACGCGCTATTGGATCTCAGCCACACCTCTTTGATTACAAGAAAGCTATAGCTTTACAAATGCTTTAAATCTCATTCTGGTGACTTTTCTATCACTTTCATTCTACTTTGAAGTTGGAAATATTTATAAGTTGAAGATAACCTCTGACAGTTGTTGTGATGAAAGAGTAGATTTTTTTTTAAATACTACAGCTTCGATTTGATGTTTAATACTCTCAATTTTAAAAGCTGAACTCAGAACAAAGTACGGTGGTTTATGAGACCCTGTTGGAGAGGGGTAGTCTAATTTTAGTAATCAATACAATTTAGACACGAAAACTTTTATTTTATAAATTATGGAGAAAGGAGGCTTTTAATGTTCTATCTTTCCTTTTGAATTCTTCTTCATTATTATATTCCTCTATGTAAACTTACATTCAAATAGCTGCCTTAAAAGCAGACCCATATTGAATATTTAAAAACCAGTTGAAAAATTCATTAAATTAAAATCAGCTTATTCGACTTAACAATGATCTCTCTAGAGAAGGACCCCATGAGTAAGACACTGTCCATGTTTTGTGTCATTTTCTAATAATCGAAAAGAACCATAATAAAGTACTAGTTAGGGCAGAACTAATGACTTCTCAAATTTCACATTAAACTTTGAAAAAAAGATATGAATATATTTAAAATGACTCCAACACTATCCAGGGAGAATAGCTACATGGATGTGACAGTAAGTGATTTGGCAGTTTATAAAGAAATTGTGTACATTTTCCTAAATCTCCTCTGAAGAAGAGGAAACTTTCTTTTACCAGATTCATGTACTTTCTTCTATGCCAATCCTCTCCTGCCTCCACGAACTCCATCAAGTGCTCTTTACTCAAAATAAACTTATATACCTGGTCTAACAATATATCCATTTCTTTGAAATGCTGTACTATACACTTACTTGGTATTTTCCAAAAGCAGTTATGCTAACACCTAGGCACCTTAATAACTTCTCTACACCTTTAATATACACGTGGTACTGTGAACTTGAAATTCCCCTTAGTTTTGTTTTCATAAACCTTGTCTAAATATAAATTCCTTGATATGAATTTAGGCAATGAAGTAGATAAGTTATATTGAAGGGCTTCTAGAATCAAAGAAACATTCTGATAGGGCTTTCAGAATATTTCTTTGTTCTTCATATTCATTTCACTTATGGTATAGACAAACATTTAAAGGTTTTTTCATCCACGTCTGGCTCAGTGACAGTGAAAACATACAACATTCAAGTACTATTAGGCAAAGGCAGCCCTACACGGATACGTATCCACATAGGTCAGTTTGCAAAGGAGGACTATCTTAATTATTCTGCAGTATATTTGACCAAAGAAACCTTTTGAAATCATTTTTACTCTTGGGTCTGTGGCATCCTTCCAAAGGTCCTGAAGGTCATCTACATGCCCATGAGATGTCATCATTTTTTCATAGATGCAGGGATGATAAGGAGTTTTACCTTCCCCGGAGAAAAACACATGGTATTGTGGTACTATCCCTATCTTATTGGCACAGAGGCCCATGAACACATCGTCTATGTAAAGACTAGAGTTAAGTGTCTGTGATGCCTCATAGACTTTGGCGGCTACATCACCAGAGATCACGTAGGCGGCTCCTGCAGTATAGTCAGGGTAAGCCGGCCACTGGTACATTTCATAGGAGACATAGTATTTGCTGCTTTTGTCTCTGACGGGAGGGGCACCACGATGAACACGACCAATCCAAAAGTCTTGAACACCAATTCGTTCTAAACTTTGAAGGTATTCGATAAGATTTGGCATGTGAATAAATATGTCATCATCAGCAGTCATAAGGAATTTGGCATGTGGACAAAAGCTATTTGCCCAACTGAACTGCAGAAGAAATTTAAGAGTAAGATTATAGAAAGAATCAGCAAAGGCTTGCTGAATTATATCATTGTACATCTGATCTTCCCAAACCAGTCTTCTCTGAAGTCTTTCTCTTGTCAGTGGGTCAGAAGGTGTTCCTAAGACAAACAGAGTTTTAATGTTGGCGTTAAGTTGAGAGCGAACATACTTCTCATTGCCCCATGTTTTCCTAATGGCAGAACGGCGATTGTAGTTTTCAGGAGCCGTCTTCACAAACAGTAAGAGCAGGACGTCTTGTGTTTGACACTTCTCCTCATGGTTTATCAAGTACTGGTATCGAGGAGCCCCATCCTCGCTGCGCTTAAGAGACAGGCTATCATTCACAAAGTCGTAGCTATTTATGAGGTATCTGTAAGAGTAGGACTTCATATGGCTCACGATGTGGTTATCGATCGATATCCAGAAGAACATGAGGCTTAGTACAAAACAAGTGGCAAATAACTGAATAAATTGCCATTTTTTTACTCTCCTGCCACTAACAAACATTCTGACGTCCATTCAGGTCTGTTTTTATTTAGGGTCAGTTTTAAATGGGTACTTCCTTCTTCAAGACCATAGGACTTTGTATTCTTTAGAACAGATGTGCATGTTGGTCATTAAAAATGTAAACGGAGCTTCTTATTTCACAAAATATTTTAATACCATTTTTTTCGGAAATGGGAGAAAACGGAACACACTGCAGAATGAGGACACTGGCACATCAGAATGCTCCCACTCTGACATCCTTCATTAAGTTCGGGATTGGCCTTACGCAGCTATTCTGTGTACTCCTTTTTGTGAAAGTTAAGTGCAACCTATTAGATTTAGGAAGAGAAAAAATGACAAGAAAATAGGTTACTGAGTTACCAAAAAGAAACAGACTACTCTTAATTCCTTAAAAACAATATGTAACCTAACTGATCTGGACAAAAGGTGATGGGGCAGCTGGTGTTGCGTGGAGGCATACAGCTGTTTATTTTTTCAGGGGAATCCAGGGAAAGGGAAAGAACCACTCTCTACCATCTTCTCATTCAGAATACAGAGACCCTTTTCTCTTTTCAACCTTAAAAAAAAAAAAGCATCCAGCATGTCTATCATCTTATATACTTAAAGTTAAAATTTCTCAAATGGGTGTATCGATGAATCTATTGACTTGGAATATAGTCAGGGTGACAGCAGCTATATAGTTCAGGGAAAAATACTGAATGAAAAGGAAGTTCCTAATAGTAAAAATCCATTAAAGCTTGCCCCAGACAAGGCAGGAATAGGAGTAAGATTTTTTTTTTTCAAATCAAGGTTCATAATCAAGGAGTTGAGATATGCTTCTCAAAAGCATAGTCCAAACTCTCTCTAACCAAAGTGACTTTTCTGTACAGTCATCTTCTTTCTGTACTTTTCCATTTGGAAACTCCACAGGCACCTCAAATTTAACATGTTCAAAACTGGGAAACCACAGGATTATAACCAACAAACACTGTCTTTGTAGTCAGGCAATTTGAACACCAGTGGTGGCTCAGCCACTTACTGTATGTTGTACTTTATCATGCATCTAACCCAGAAATCTAAAAAATTCTAATAACACTGCTTAATTTGAAGTCTGAAATGGGAAGATTAAATGGGAACATACATAGAGGTATAGATAGAGGAAGGTAGATAGATAATAATTACCTGCACATGGGGGTACTCAAATGCCATTTCTACTGTCTTCTCCCCTAAAATCTGTTTCCATTTTTTCTTTGTGTCTGACTACACTTCATGTGTCTGTGCCAGAAATCTGAAAGTCCTCCTTTCCTTCCTCTTCTGTATCTAATTATTTAATCTTGTGAATTGCTTCTTCTAAACCTCTCTTCACCCTTTCCTGTCATCTTCACTTCTCAGTCAGACCAGTACAGCTGACTGAAAGATCTCTGGCCAGCCCATCCTCCCCACAGAGTGACCTTTCTAAAACTCAGATCTAACCATGAGACTACCTGAGCTCTTGAAACCCCTTCAGATGCTCTCCACTAGTTGACAGTGTACCAAATTACTGGCTGAAAGCTCAGACACCCTTGCTATTTCACACACACCAGCCTTTGCACCAGCAGTCCTGTGGCCTGTCAGCCTCACTCCCCTTGCTAAAGGAAGTCTGCTAGTCCTAACTAAATTCTACAGGCATCCGCCTCTGGGAAGTCTGAATTGGGCCCCCTGCTCTTACCTGTACTGCCATAACACCTTCTTTTTTTCTCTTTTTTTTCAAAAAATTTTATTGGAGTATAGTTGATTTACAATGTTATGTTAGTTTCTGCTGTACAGCAATGAGTCAGTTATACATACACATATATCCACTCTTTTAGATTCTTTTCCCATATAGGCCATTACAGAGTATTGAGTAAGAGTTCCCTGTGCTATACAGAAGGTCCTTATTAGTTATGTATTTTATATATAGTAGTGTGCATATGTCAATCCCAATCTCCCAATTTATCCCTCCCCCACTTTCCCCCCTGCTAACCATAAGTTTGTTTTCTGCATCTGTGACTCCATTTCTGTTTTATAAGTAAGTTCATTTGTACCATTTTTTAAGATTCCACATATAAGTGATATCATATGATATTTGTCTTCCTCTGTCTGACTTACTTCACTCAGGATGACAATCTCTAGGTCCGTCCATGTTGCTGCAAACGGCATTATTTCATTCTTTTTTATGGCTGAGTAATATTCCATTGTATATATGTACAACATCTCCTTTATCCACTCATCTATTGATTGACAGTTAGGTTGCTTCTGTGTCCTTCCTGGCTATTATAGCCACAACACCTTCTTACATCCATCTTCTTGTATTGAGATTTTTTATTTAACTGCCTCTGCCCAATTACACTGTGAACTCTGACCCAAGGCACGAGATAGATGCCTTGTTGTAGATACCCTACCTCAGCATCCATGTCAGTCCCTGATACCCAGTAGGCGTTCTCTGAACGCTGGTGCAAAGAACCATGCTGGGGGTGGAGCCACCTGTCACTCAAACAGTTGGTCACTTGGGAAGAACTGGGGTCAGGATGCCCAGCCAGGTACCACCTCAGATGAGGCCCCTGCCACCACTGCCTGCCACGTGTCCTCCCTTTCCTCCTACCACTAGGAGACAGCACCACCCTTCCTCGAGGATTCTGTCCCCAGTGCTTACCACAGTTAAGATGCAACCTTTTGCCTGGAGAAGCAGGCTCTCCCCTCGGGCTTGACACATCGGTCTCCTGGGCTTTCAACAGACTGACAGGGAGAGGACAACGCTGATTCCAGGATGTCCAGGCTGGCGGAGTAGCTGAGCCCACATCACAAGCCCCGGGGCAAGGGCTTTGCTTTTGTGCCCAAAGACCTCATCCTCAAGTCCCCTACCCTTTGCCCCTGATAAAAAACCAGTTGTACACACTGAGAGCACCAGGCAGTACCGGCCTAACCTGGGCTGTGGGAATTCCTTCTTGACTTCAGGCCTTTCACATCCCCCCAGGATTACTCCACATGAGGGTGATAACTGCAAAAGCCAAGCATGCGAAAAGTCCAAGGAACACAGGAGATTAGAACCAAGCCTCAGTGAGACTTTGTCTAGAGATAATCAGCACAGGCATCTTATCCCCAAGGGTAGAGATTTTTAAACTGCTAGCACCACTTAGGAAGCCACAAACAGCTTTAAAAAAAAAAAAAAAGGAAGAAAAAGGAAGAACAGAATAGAGAATGGCAGAGTACATTGAAAGTAGTAAGTATAAGTATTGTTTTGTGAAACTTTAAGTGTTGTGTGTATATACCTTTAGGGTTATAAAGTAAAATGCATTTTTATTGTGCTTTACTGTCAAAAAAGGTGAGGAATACTATTCTAAGGGCTAGATCAACATTGGTAATTTCCCCCTTAGTTTGGCTGGTCATGGCGGACCGAATGCTCTAGGGTAGGGTGAAGGACAGCAGGAAGCATCCATTTCTGATAATGGCATCTGCCTACACTTTGCACAATCACTTTCACTGGCTTGGGGGGAGTGGGTCACTTCCTCTCGGTCTTAACAGTGCTCACTTAGATAAGGTCCATCTCTGAAGGCCAAAACCCCCTTCTACTTCTTCCACGATACATACTGAAGGAACTGGAGGCTTAATGCGAAGTAACAGGGAATCCCTAACGGCAGACTTTAAGACAGCATAAGTGTTTAAGAATTCTCAGAAAATTCTCAATTGAAACTAATCTGCTGTTTCTATTGCAAGAGATCCTGGGAAGGAAACGAAGAGGAGAGTAACCTTTGGAACCACAGGCAAAACTAGCTTCCCATTTCTGAGCAGCTGCACTCAGTAGTATGTTCCAAGGGCAGCTTGCTTTGCACCTATTCACAGTTGTTTACAACCCGGAGCTTCTTGCTAGACAATCAGCCCACCAGCCCAACTCCGCCAGCACCCACTCGCACACTGCGCTCACAGAGGCCCTAGTCTCTCTCCCATGAATGGGGTCTATTACTCACCCGGGTGGAGTGTTGCTGCTAACATTGCTACTACAGCCAAGCAGCCAGCCCATAACATTGGTTTTGTCCCCTCCCTACCCCGCCATGTATGTATTTACCTCATTTTCCTACATTTCTTCAGTTGTTCCCAGTTGGCCTCTAAGAGTCACAACTGTTTTCTTAAAAATGAAAAAGAACTTGTCACAAAGCCAACAACCCACGCTGCTTCTTTAGGCTTAGCACAGTGTGTGAAGTTCTAAGACACGGTTTCTCCACCCGCAGCTGCTTGAATTGTTGGAGCCACTGTTTACGTCAGTCATAACCAAGTCTCCCTGATAGTGTTGATGTGATGAGGGGAAGACCTAGGAATGGTAAACGGCTCTTTTAGAGGACCCAGCTTCTCTTATAGCAAAAGAACACCCCAACTCCTCCAAAGTGAACTTAGTCACTAGCCCGGCCTTTTCCAACCAAAAGCAAAAACACCTCCATGGTCTAAATTCATTTGTTACAACTAAATAACATTGCCCCAGCCCTGGCTTTGCTGATGGAGACCACACACAGGCAATCAAGGCCCACCCTCTGGTTCACACAGCCACAAAGCTTCTCTAAAGCACATCCTCTAGCTTCTGTATTCAAAGTGCTGGGTTGGGGGCTATAGAGAAGCCCACAGGCCTCCCTGACCTGGAGAAAGAAAATGCTAGTCCTAACAGGAAACAAAGCGATCCCAATAATGATTGTGAACTCAGCAACCATCCACAACAGAATGCTGTGGGTGCAGCTTCCTTTGTGCCTGCAGTGCGGCTGGGTGACCAATCAACAGGTTGGAACCAAGGCTACCCGGTTTGGGGCCAGATTTATTGTATAACCTCGGGCACCCCTCACTGCACTCTGCTGTGGTGACTTAATCTGCAAGCTGGGGGCAAGGATCAAAGTATTGTTACGGAGGGGATATAAAAATTACAGATGACTTCAGAGCCTGCTGAGAGAACAGGACAAAGAGCTGGTTAGAGGAAAATATGCAAATATTTGGAATATAACTTGGGTTTGCTTCTATCTGGATTGAGAAGGAACAGATATTCTTAGTATTCTCTTTCCTAA